GTAAAACACCTGTTTTCCAAAGCGCCCACGCTCTATATAAATATCACCAACCTACTTTTCGAGACAAACATGGCCGCCCCCACCTTTGGAGACAAACATGGCCGCCCCCACGTTTGGAGACGATTTTTCAAAGCTTTTTAACAATGAATTTAGACGAGACAGAAGGGTAATTTCGGCGATAAAAGTGTAGATGGACATCTTAATAGTTCTAAAAAAGATAGAAAGTGACAATATACCACGGTAAAACACCTGTTTTCCAAAGCGCCCACGCTCTATATAAATATCACCAACCTACTTTTCGAGACATACCTACTTTTTGAGACAAACATGGCCGCCCCCACGTTTGGAGATGATTTTTCAAAGCTTTTTAACAATGAATTTAGACGAGACAGAAGGGTAATTTCGGCGATAAAAGTGTAGATGGACATCTTAATAGTTCTAAAAAAGATAGAAAGTGACAATATACCACGGTAGAACACCTGTTTTCCAAAGCGCCCACGCTCTATATAAATATCACCAACCTACTTTTCGAGACATACATACTTTTCGAGACAAACATGGCCGCCCCAACGTTTGGAGACAAACATGGCCGCCCCCACGTTTGGAGACGATTTTTCAAAGCTTTTTAACAATGAATTTAGACGAGACAGAAGGGTAATTTCGGCGATAAAAGTGTAGATGGACATCTTAATAGTTCTAAAAAAGATAGAAAGTGACAATATACCACGGTAAAACACCTGTTTTCCAAAGCGCCCACGCCCTATATAAATATCACCAACCTACTTTTCGAGACAAACATGGCCGCCCCAATGCAACACACGTTTGGAGACTGTTTTTTACCGCTTTTCAAGAATGAATTTGGACGAGACAGAAGGGTAATTTCGGCGATAAAAGTGTAGATGGACATCTTAATAACTCTATAAAAACTTGAAAGTGACAAGATACCACGGTTTAGCACCTTTCCGTTCCTGTTTTCCAAACCCTCCACGCCCTATATAAATATCACCAACCTACTTTTCGAGACCATAATGGCCGCCTTCTATAAAACATCCCCAACAGACTTTTGGAGACCATTTTTCAACGATTTTTAAAAATTAAGTTAGACAAGCTAGAAGGATACTTTCTGTGACAAAAGTGTAGATGGACATCTTAATAATTCTATAAAAAAAGAAAGTGACAATATACCCCGGTATAGCACCTTTCCGTTCCTGTTTTCCAAACCCTCCACGCAATATATAAAATATCACCAACCTACTTTTCTAGACCATAATGGCCGCCTTCTATAAATATCATCAACAGACTTTTGGAGACCATTTTTCAACGATTTTTAAAAATTAAGTTAGACAAGCTAGAAAGATACTTTCTGAGACAAAAGTGTAGACGGACATCTTAATAATTCTATAAAAAAAAGAAAGTGACAATATACCCCAGTTTAGCACCTTTCCGTTCCTGTTTTCCAAACCCTCCACGCCCTATATAAATATCACCAACCTACTTTTCTAGACCATAATGGCCGCCTTCTATAAACATCCCCAACAGACTTTTGGAGACCATTTTTCAACGATTTTTAAAAATTAATTTAGACAGGCTAGAAGGATACTTTCTGCGACAAAAGTGTAGATGGACATCTTAATAACTCTATAAAAACTTGAAAGTGACAAGATACCCCGGTTTAGCACCTTTCCGTTCCTGTTTTCCAAACCCTCCGCGCCCTATATAAATATCACCAACCCACTTTTCGAGACCATAATGGCCGCCTTCTATAAACATCCCCAACAGACTTTTGGAGACCATTTTTCAACGATTTTTAAAAATTAAGTTAGACAAGCTAGAAAGATACTTTCTGTGACAAAAGTGTAGATGGACATCTTAATAATTCTATAAAAAAAGAAAGTGACAATATACCCCGGTTTAGCACCTTTCCGTTCCTGTTTTCCAAACCCTCCACGCAATATATAAAATATCACCAACCTACTTTTCGAGACCATAATGGCCGCCTTCTATAAATATCATCAACAGACTTTTGGGGACCATTTTTCAACGATTTTTAAAAATTAAGTTAGACAAGCTAGAAAGATACTTTCTGCGACAAAAGTGAAGATGGACATCTTAATAATTAAAACAAAAATAGAAAGTGACAATATACCTCGGTGTAGCACCTTTCCGTTCCTGTTTACCAAACCCTCCACGCAATATATAAATATCACCAACCAACTTTTCTAGACCATAATGGCCGCCTTCTATAAACATCCCCAACAGACTTTTGGAGACCATTTTTCAACGATTTTTAAAAATTAATTTAGACAGGCTAGAAGGATACTTTCTGTGACAAAAGTGTAGATGGACATCTTAATAACTCTATAAAAACTTGAAAGTGACAAGATACCCCGGTTTAGCACCTTTCCGTTCCTGTTTTCCAAACCCTCCACGCAATATATAAAATATCACCAACCTACTTTTCGAGACCATAATGGCCGCCTTCTATAAATATCATCAACAGACTTTTGGGGACCATTTTTCAACGATTTTTAAAAATTAAGTTAGACAAGCTAGAAAGATACTTTCTGCGACAAAAGTGAAGATGGACATCTTAATAATTAAAACAAAAATAGAAAGTGACAATATACCCCGGTGTAGCACCTTTCCGTTCCTGTTTACCAAACCCTCCACGCCCTATATAAATATCACCAACCTACTTTTCGAGACCATAATGGCCGCCTTCTATAAATATCCCCAACAGACTTTTGGAGACCATTTTTCAACGATTTTTAAAAATTAAGTTAGACAGGCTAGAAGGATACTTTCTGTGACAAAAGTGTAGACGGACATCTTAATAATTCTATAAAAAAAAGAAAGTGACATTATACCCCAGTTTAGCACCTTTCCGTTCCTGTTTTCCAAACCCTCCACGCCCTATATAAATATCACCAACCTACTTTTCTAGACCATAATGGCCGCCTTCTATAAACATCCCCAACAGACTTTTGGAGACCATTTTTCAACGATTTTTAAAAATTAAGTTAGACAGGCTAGAAGGATACTTTCTGTGACAAAAGTGTAGATGGACATCTTAATAACTCTATAAAAACTTGAAAGTGACAATATACCCCAGTTTAGCACCTTTCCGTTCCTGTTTTCCAAACCCTCCACGCCCTATATAAATATCACCAACCTACTTTTCTAGATCATAATGGCCGCCTTCTATAAACATCATCAACAGACTTTTGGAGACCATTTTTCAACGATTTTTAATAATGAATTTAGACAAGCTAGAAAGATACTTTCTGCGACAAAAGTGAAGATGGACATCTTAATAATTAAAACAAAAATAGAAAGTGACAATATACCTCGGTGTAGCACCTTTCCGTTCCTGTTTACCAAACCCTCCACGCCCTATATAAATATCACCAACCTACTTTTGGAGACAAACATGGCCGCCATCAACAGACGTTTGGAGACGATTTTACAAAGCTTTTTAACAATGAATTTAGACGAGACAGAAGGGTAATTTCGTCAATAAGTGTGTAAATGGACATCTTAATAGTTCTAAAAAAGATAGAAAGTGACAATATACCACGGTAAAACACCTGTTTTCCAAAGCGCCCACGCTCTATATAAATATCACCAACCTACTTTTCGAGACATACCTACTTTTCGAGACCAAATTGGCCGACATCAACAGACGTTTGGAGACGATTTTTCAAATCTTTTTAGCAATGAATTTAGGCGAGATAGAAGGGTACTTTCTGCAACAAAGGTGTAGATGGACATCTTAATAGTTCTAAGAAAATAGAAAGTGACATAATTCCAAGGTTTAGCATTCTTCCGTCCCTGTTTTCCAAACACGGTTTTTCGTATTCAAACCGTCACAATATCTAGAATTAGCCTTCAAAGAATCCAAACAAATTGTCTTTGGTGAGCTTTATTGGGGATTTCGCGTTCGTCATCACATTTAAAGTAAGAAATGTTTAACTTATATAGTATAAAGTCATATAGAACTTCTGGACACTAAAGTGTGAACGGACTTCCACGCCCTATATAAGTATCTACCTTTCGAGGCTATCGCAGACTGATTTTTAACGATTTGTTATGGCTTTTAATGTTTCTACTTTTTGTTTACATATAACGCTCTCTTTGATTTTCCCATATGGTCCAAATTCAGATAGTCTATGCTTTTTCAATAATCTTTCTCGGTTTGAGACAGATTACTTATGCTTGTGTGGCGAGATGAATGCTGCAGATGAATCAGCTTTAACCACAAAAAAGTAAATAAAACAAAAAGGGAATATGAACAACATCGTTTTATAGATCATGTGACGTGCTTGGAGATACACCAATATGACAAGAAGAAGTTACTAGTATTCATGGAGATAAACTAGTCCAAAATGAAAGATAAGATCGTTTGTTTATATCGGAAAAGTTGGAAGAAAAACAGAAATGTATAATCAAATACTTTTTAGCATTGGGATATGGAAACTAACTAAAATAAGAGGAAAGTTTATTATTTTTAAATCAGTATTACTGGACAGTTCACATAACGAAAGTGCAAGTAGGGACAAATGACATGGGGACCCTAAAAAGTATCAGAATGTGTACTTTAATAAGACAGTGTAATCCCAAATATAACATACGTTACAGTTCACATAACAATTTGCTGCGTAAGGTCTACAATGATTTCTACACGATATTTAAATGTTATACTTTTTGGTTTATGCATAGTACAATCCAAAACAACATAATATGGATAGGTCTAAAATGTCATGAGAAGGGAAGGGAAATTAGTTATCACAACATTCACTTTACCGGGCATGACTATTGGTTACAATTAATCAGAAAACAGTAACTAAGAATTGCAAAGACACATACTACAATAACTGCGAGAATAAATAGTGTCTAAGTACATCAGAATACAGACCTCAATTTACTACGAACAAGATTGTTACCATAAGCATTAAATAAATGTAGGTAGGGACTATACGAGTGTTATTCTGACCATATTTTGAAAAGCATAAAAATCCTATAAATTACGACATAAGCTAAAATAAATAAAGAAATAAATGGAAATATCAGCAGAAAACTATTTTTCAAATTTCTTATAAACTAGTGAATATATTCATTCTTTTAAACAGTTCTAAATGGGATGACTACGACAAAAGCAAATCTTTACTGATGGGCATGTGATAGGGCTTGGGCAAATGACCTTTTCAGCTGATACTTCCCTTTATCATTCAGGTGTAATCCGTCCGAACAATATAGATAGTGCCTTGGTCCACCTGTTCCCAAATATAAAAATCTTTTGGATGTTCGCACATTTTTACATCTGAGAACAGTGCACACATGCCTTATGATATTGTTCGCATGGATTACAACCCTCTGTGTTGTGCTGAAATCCCTGATGCGTGGAATAATGTCACAACACATTATAACGGCATCAGGGTTCATCGATTTTAAGTATTTAATTAGTGTCATATATTCAGAGAGAAATCGATGTGGATTAAAGGAAGAAATGTCATTTGTCCCTACATGTAACACAATAGAGTGATAAGTCTTTACATTTAAATTGGTTATTATTTTTTGCATTCGCTTCAGGTTAGCTCCTGGTTTGCTTATTACTGAGCAGTTGGGTATATCGCCCGCAATCCCCCTGCATAGCGATTCCCCAAGCACCATTCTTTGACCTGAAATATAAAATACTTATAAGCACGGAAAGTCGATTACTCATAAAAAAAAAACATATCTAGGGATGTTAATAAAAATAAGGAACGCATTATTAACATTCAAGCGCAAGACCCTGGTGTTGAATATAACATGACTGGAAAAGTACACCATGCCATTTATTATCACTGGTTACCTCACCTTTCTTTCCATTGTCGTCCGACCTCTCTTCCTGAAGGGGAGGTGTTTGTATCTGGCTTGGAACTGGAGGATTAAAAGGCAATATATCAAGCGATGAACACACGTATCTGAACTTGTTTAACATTTAAACACACGAGGATACTGCTAAAAACACAGGAAAATTTGTTTCTTAAACAAACAATTTGTATTCATAGTAGTTAAATGTGCCGACGCTAAAGGTTAATCAACACAATTTCTTCCAAGAGCAAGGTTCAGTTGTCGGAAATAAAACGTTAATATGAACAAATACTTCCACTGAAGTATCAGAAATTAATACTGAGATCCAGGTGAAATATATTGCTTCCCATTCGTAATGCAACTGAAGACGTTACTTATTCGAATGCTACTTTTGACAAGTTACTCTTACCTTCATGGCACATTGTACCCCTGTCTATACCGGGTGGGACTGTTGGCGCTGTGGATTAAGGGAAAATACATGTATATGATATTAGGCTATGAAAACGTCACTTAACTGCATGGTACCGACAGATAAATCTGCAAATAAGTTGCATCAAAATAATACTAGGATGTCTTTTTAGACACATAATTGCAACATAAAATACTTGAGGAAATAGTTTTGCCTTGGGTTTTACGAAAAGGAAGCATATGTGGTATGAAGCAAATGTTCAACTGCTCATTCTATAAGTGATTCTTCCGTCTCCAAGAGAAGTATGACTCGGTTAGTGGCGGTTTGTATAATGATGGAAAACCATCACCTGATATTCAGAAAAAATATATAACTCGCATTTTTCGCATTTAATTCACGCTCGCGTTAACTTCAATATTTACAGTATACAAATATTACAAATGATAAGACAGGGAATAACGGAAAATATATGGAACTTAAAAGAATCTACTCATGGAATTAGTAATGGTTTTAGGTAGATTTGGTGAACTTTGTGTATCTTTTATATTTACCCGAGTCCTTCAAATTATGTTTCTTGTGTCTTTCTTTGTAGGAATCACTGAAATGTGTAATTATATGTATTATTAAACAACTATGTGTCTCTTCGGTCGATCGTATACTTGAAGATATGTATATAAACACAACAATAAATAAATAAATAAATAAATACGTACGTATATGTATGTATGTATGTATGTATGTATGTATGTATGTATGTATGTATGTATGTATGTATGTATGTATGTATGTATGTATGTATGTGGTATATATAAAACACAATTACCTATTTTGTCTTGCGGTCTACATATGCCCATCACGATTCGTTTTATAACTTGGACGGATGTACTGGGTCTATCTACAAATAAAAAGGGGAACATTCAATATTGTACGCATACAGATCTAAAGAAATCAAGGCTTCATTATCCCAGAGACCATGTCAACATTGTGACATATGAACCTGTACATTAAATGGCATATGTTATGTACATCGTAATTTCAAATTTGTACTGTTTTCATATGTATCTAATTATGTGTGACTTTTAAAGAGAGAAAACAGGTTACCTCTATGATCTGTCTTGAATTTCTTGACTGGTGAATCATCTGAAATTTACAAAATAATTGTTGAAAATGTTTTCATGACATTATTTTTTTCACAAATGATGTATATCTTCTTTATTTCAATCAATAACATCAAAATAGCTGAAAGGTTTAGTGGAAAGAGGTAAATCATATACATCCGTTAATGAATTTAGTAAAAATCTGTATCGTTTCGGCAGAGTTCAAATCACGTTATGATTAAACATTATATACATTATAAGCTCAAATTTCACGAAATAAACAAATTAGCGTAAATTATTATAAAAGTAACTTTTGTAGCAATCATGTATGTTTTTTTATAAAAACTATTCTCTTCAGCACGCATGATCAAAGAGTTCTATCAGTGAATGTTAAATTTGACATGAATCGTATTTACCAGGTTATTGATAAACATAAGAAATAAACACTAGCGACATTTTATTTTACTTACTGTGCACATCCGAGTCAAGGGCCTCCTGGTCAGCCGCTGGCACATGTATGACTGTAATGATGGTTACAGGCCGGCAAAGCCACATTTCGAAAATAGATAGCCCAAATTGATGTGGCGCTCCCGGCAATGGTTATGGTTGCGTGATTGTATAATGTGGCTCTCACGGCTATGCTGTCAAAACATGCTTTGTGATTCTAACAGGTTACCGTATATAACAAAACAAGTCTTGTTTTCTCATTTCTTATTCAACAAGGATAACATATTCATCAAAACTTTACATTGATGAATATGAATAGCATATGAATATCATAATGGATCATAACTGCAGATGAAGGAGGTCGCCCACGTGGTCAGCATATTCCATCTCACTCAGGTGTTGGTTCAGGAGCTGGATCTTGAGGGACGCAATACGTGCATCGATTGCCTTGTACTTCTTTCTTCGTGAAGGTTCTGACCACTGGTGAGAGAGTCTCAGGACTGCAACCTCTTTGAGTGACTGCTCTCGCTGAAATAGCTTCACTACCTCGTAGATGTTCGGGTGGCACTTCTTGGCAAGTTTCTTTATCTTGTTGTGCCACCCTTCCAGGTGATTGTTGGTACGGTGGCCTTGGTTTTCGAAATGGTTCCAAATCTCTGGCATGAAGGCCTGTCCTTGAACCCAACTGGTTGTCACGTAGTCCATGAAAGCAGTCACTTTAGGGCCAGCAGGAGAGTCAGCAATGGCATCAAGCCACACATCATCCACTTTGTCACGAGGTACTAGAGGGAGCATTACAAACCACCCTCAATCTAAACAAGGCTCTAACTCTAGAAGCAATACTAAACCCACAAAATAAACTAGAAAACTTCAAGGCCTTAGGCGTATTCTTAATAAAAACGGAACTAATAAAACGCATCTAAAAACACAATAACCTACCAAATCAAAATCACATAAACAAACAAACATCCACCATACCCAGCTCCCTTAGTTTTCCTCCCCAATCCCATCGGCATCTATTCCAAATCTCAAAATTCCCAAATTCTATATAAGTAACCCCTAAAACCCCCCTCTTGGGTTGCACAGACCACCTTCGCCCCTTTCGGAAACACGTTAAATGGCCTGGCCGGGCCCGTGTGCGAAATACGCATCAGTCGGAAAGCGCATGTTAAATCTCCAAAGTAAGTAAGTAAGTAAGTAACACCACGCTTAGTAATTTAAATGTGGGACACTCATTTAAAGGTATCGGTAATCGGATTAATTAATTACCCGCTAGAATAGGTGAAATGCACTCAGCTGAAAATGTGGCTCTACCGGCAATAGCCATTTCTGAAATGTGGCGCTCCCGGCTAGACACCGTAATAATAGATAATAGTGTCATGGTAGCAGTTACATAATGTCACAATTATGGAATCCTAGTAGAGACGGTGTCGCGTTGTGCGTTGTCGTCCTTCCAAAAATAAGTATTCATATGGTCCGGTAAACATTCATATATTACACGTTTAAACCATTAGGTAAATTCAGTTTATTTCAGGGTTTAAAAATATTACAAATTGAGCCGTATCATATGACAGTTAACATTGATTTGTTGTCTGGCGATCGGGAAGAAGAGCAAACACCAAGGGGTAGGTCTTGGAACCTCTTCTGGCATGGATAATGAAGAGTTGGTGATGAAAATGTACCATCCATGTAGAAGTCATCTGCTGACTGCAAAATAGTCAGCTGATCCAAAGAGGAAAAGACTAACATCTTTTCTTCGCCATCACCGTCAGCAAACAACAGGTATGGTTGGCCGTCAGCTGTCTCAGTCCACTTTCCCTCAAGTTCCACATCACCTCTTACCAGTGGGAGTGCTGGTATGGTGTGTTGTCTATGCCGGTACAGGACACTTCTATGTACTAGTTTGTGTTTTTTCACTAAATTGAGTAGACTCAATTTAACTCAGTAATGAACAGTAAATAGTTTGAGATGAATCCTGTACTTGTAACTTAAACATTATAGGTATTTATTTAAATAACTTTAATTTGAATGTTTTGATTATCAAAGACTGTCCTGTATTATGTTCAAATAACTTCAATGTATATTACTTTAATAACATTCGTTTATGTTTTCATTACAAAAGACTGTGTCATACTCAGTATAGATAATTATGTTAGATAATAAACTAATCCCAAGCTTTCTAATTAGTGGACTAATCCATTTTGACCAAAGGGTATATGCCTATTGTTGTTTTAACTGATCCCTCGTTTGCTGTATAACTATTGGGAGTATGACAAATGGGCAGATGACTAATGGGACATGACCATTAAAACATGCTACTTCTTGTCGTGCCACTGTGGCTTATTGCAGTGCAGGCCTGTTTATACGTGTAGTGGGGCTATACTCCACATGTTTATACTCCGCATGGAAACAGAGGAAGGGCTCTACTGCCACAGCGGGGAATATAACTTGAAATGTAAGGTTCAGCTCCAAATCCCTTGAAGTTATATGAGTGGATCACGAAAATTCGCGAAAAGGGTGTGCATATCCTACTCTATCGGTCTCTAAAATTACGTGAATAAATGCCTACAGTGAAAATATTTTTTTATATCATGTATTCATGTAAATGTATTTTTGACCTCTGAGGAAACTTCCCGTTGTTGCCTTGTACATGTCATACAGTTATTGGTCCACGTATTTCATAACCACACATGAGAATGGTTAATTTCAGATTAGATATCATGGTACTTACACTGTAAAATGAGTTTAGAATGAAAATACATACAACACATGTTTCGGTAGAAACATGTTTAAGAATGTGTTGAAATCCGAAGCGGAATACACATTTGGTTTAACCTTTAAACATGTTAACGATAAAATGCAAACCATTGTGTATTATCCTAATAATCTAAACATGTTTAAATGAAGTGCCTATCATTGGGCATCAAGTAAAATGTAAATATGATGTGGAATATATATTGAAATTAGATGTGCCAATCAGATTCACATGTACTTGCAAAACAATGGAAGTGTAACTGATTACTTCGAGTTTTCCCACATTCAGACTCGAAACACGTTTAGCATGTTAAACACAATCCTACAAATGTTAAAACCCTAACCATTTAGGATTTAGAAATAAACACATTTTTACTGTGATCATACAGAGTTGTAACTTTATATTTAATCGGAGCTGTTGAGAAAAAAAACACGCAGAAGAAACTGGACTTGCTGGATCCCCCCCCCCCCCCCCCGCCACAAATACACGCGCCCTTCCACAGATCGGCCCCTTGAAAAATTAGCAGCAAGCTACTGCTAAACCGTGGGTCAGATTATGTGTTCTGATGACATCGTGTTTATTGACCAAATTCTACACGAGGAGGAAGACGAGCAAAACTGAGAGGAGGCAACGGACACCCATGGCGAATCCTAGGGAGAAGAAAATATCATATGTTCGTGGGTATGTGCACTGTCTACTGATACGATCTTATCACACTGCATTTATTGAGAAACTGATAAGGGATGCCAGCTCTCTCGCCACAACACGTGACAGTTGTGCGCTAATACCCCCTCAGTGTCGGAAGATGTCATACCATGCGTCGTGACACTTTCCGCAGAGCCCGGGTTGATGGTATTCATCTGAAAATAGTCAGCTGGAAGCAATTAACAATTTGTTGACTTGTCACTGTATATTATCTCAATGAAATGTATCACTTCACAAACATAGAGTGTGGTGAGAATACAATTCTTATCCAATCCGCCCTTAACTTTTCTCACGTGGTACGTCAGAATCAAGTTTACCTTTAATGTACTCGTTTTTAGTATGAAGAAAATAATATAACCTAATATAATAATTTAGATGACTATGAAAAGTCGGTCTTTTGATCTTAAGGTTTTTCGAAGAGAATATGAGTTTACGAGCACATGCGCTCTTGGAAAAAATGCCCAAAATGTTTGGGTTAGTATAGCACAGGCAGCATATAAATAAAGCGGTTGTATTCTCATCTGAAGGCATTTGTTTTAAACGTGTCTACATCCGCATAATAAAGATAATATTCCAAGATATGAAAGGATTTGCTGTAATGAAATATCAATATTCCATTTTGCATTGATTTGTTCCAAATACAGTACGTTACGAGAAAGATGTGTACCAAACATACATGTTATTCATTCAACACTGTTTTAATGCAATTAATCGATCTCTTCACCTCATGTAAAGGTAGTTAAAAGCCATGCCATGTACATGTATCATGCCACAACACAACACAACGTTTTTATTGTTCAGTGTTGGACCAAATATATACTGTAAATTTGGGCCGAAGGCCTACTTTCTTATGAAATAAAATACATAACAACATTCGGTGCTGTTGAAAAAAACAAACAGAAAAACTAATTCGTTTGCTTGACATGCTGGATACCCAAATGTGGCCTCGGCCCCGGCGGTTTGGAGAATGAACAGTCACAGCCATGGAGACGTTTGAAAAAATAAAGGGCGGGTTGGTCACTGAATTTATTAACAACGCTTTTATCCTTATGTCAGATTTTGTGAGGTAATTCTTGTTTATCACGATAATATACGGTCTAGGAAGATTTGGAAAGTCTCAATTGCCTCAGCTCCTGAATTGAAACATTGTTTAGGGCACTATTTGGATTCGTCTTCATTTGTTGCAGATGTATATTTATATATACAATAGCTTCATTTCTTGGACTAAATGTTAATATACGGGTTTCCATTTCATTGATAATACGAAGTGCACCAAAGAAAGAGAATTAACGTATGATAGATGCTTACACACCGCGTAACTTTGTTGTAAGCAATTATAGTCCTTGTAACTGGTTGCAGGAAAAATGGCCCCATGCCCCAACCAATTTGGAGGCAATGGCCTAAACTGTAGAGAAAGTGGCCACAATTTGGGGAGAAAATGACCCCATATTGTCCAGGACTATTTACACCTGATACCTCATAGACAGAAGACGTGTTGAATCAACACCGCCTATCGACCATGCAGTCCATGATCAGTTAATTACTCGAACCTGAAAATGCGACAGCAATTGTCTGCTTTATTGATATATTTTATTTCTCCAATCTCAATCGGGGTCTTTTTCAATTTGAATGTACTTGTTTGTTTCTAATAAAATTATATATTTTCAGAGGCTAAGCGTTGGCACTTTTTCAGGATGAACAGACGTGTGTAGCTTGAACTAACCGTTATGCAATGTGATGCCTACCGGGGCACTTGGCCAATGAGCTATTGCGAGAACCTTTCAACAAATTCATGTCAGGGGCCACACTATCCCCCTTATTATATCGCATGAAGGATGACAAATCTAGACAGTGACCAGCAGGTGACGGGTTTACCCAGCAGGTCATTTTCATCTGACACTTTCATCGAGGACCACATGCGTTTTAGCTGATCACTACACTATTATTTGAAGATGGAATACGAGTAAGTTCATTCAACTTTAGATTTTGTTATTATAAACATATTTTATTGCGGAAAATCAAATGGATTAGGCACAAGTGACACACTTACGAGGCCTTCTCAAACATACATTTCATTATATTGTAATATTTGAATAATAATAGTGCATAATAAATGCACAGTGCATAGGAATTATATACGAGTAATAAGAAAATACAACAACACACACACACACACACACACACACACACACACACAGACAGATAGATTTGTATACAGTTGTATAAGATATTTAATATAATTCCACCATAGTTAAACTAATAGACATTTAAATATAAGTGAATTCAAATGGAGAGCGGGATATATAAACTATAACTAAGCTGTGATAATTACGTTGAATGATTGTTTTACATCAAAATCAAAGTTATAACGAATATCAAAACAAATAGATAAAAATACAATAAAATATAACTAAGAATTTTTGTAGATTTCTAACTTCAATGATGAAATGTAACGAATTAAACTGTTTATCTGATCATAGTAAATACCATTTTCTAATGCTGGCAATGATAAACATCAATTTGATGAATATACACCGTATAATCGTTCCTGCATCGCTGATCATACGGATGAAAAACATTCAAATCAAATATGAAAAATATTTTTTGCAGGTTCGAATATACCAAGGAGTTTGAGAACAACGAAAGTGTCGCGCTTGCCAAAGCCAGCTTTTGTAATGTTACAGGATACAGCTTCAAGAAAACTACAACTAAGAAGCACTTCAACAAAAACTGTGAGTAGAGAAGTATTTATTATGTGAGTATCAGTTAGTTTCGCGATTACAACACAGTTGGTCTCTGAATAATATGTAAAGAAGGCATTTAGCGTTTTTTCATGTTCTAGGCATATGTTCGTCTCATGTTCACAGGTATAATGAACATACGATCTTATAACTTTGGTTTAAATAATTCCATTCTCATTGCCCATACAGATATCCCGACGGCGACAGATAAACCGCGGATTCTGCTGAATGGCAGGAATCAAAGTCTGAAGCCAAAAGATGATTCCCTGTATATCGTTGTATCATCGCAGACATGGGATTGTAAATACGGAAAAGGGCGCAAAGAACAGAACAAGGTAATAACCATATCTCTGTAAATCAAAGGTGTGCATAAAATGGTGCAACGGATGGGAGTAATAGCTTACCTGCGCGACTTAACATACTTTCAACTAATACAAACTACATAAAATGAATAAATGTAGTTTCGTTGTCGTAATATCATACTCAACCAGCCTGATAGAACAAAGACTACTGATACAAAGGTATGGGAATGTATACACTAAAGAAAGCAGAGTCGATGCCGATGTATACAAGCCCATGTATTACTGGTGTAAAGTTATTATAGAGAAGATTTTGTCTATATACATTTAAAAGTATAGAACATGATAACGCTCCATAGACAACAAAGGAATAAAATATATTTGAGAGTTAAAATTTCAATAAAGTCGCTTTTTAAAATTTTTATGAAACAGCTTTTCCATTAGGAGATGGGTGTAAAATTACTATGGGTTACAACGTATTATTACAATATCATTACCAATACACATTTGCCTCTTAGATAAATCTGTAATACAGAATATAAAAAGTAACATATGTAACAATATCTAAAATATTCTACACTAGAGTAAATTCTGAAATGAATGTTAACAAACAGTACAGGTCGACCTGATTCAGCTGAAGCCTAGATGTTTAAAAGGGCTAGCATTGTGGTGTATTTCACTAAAGAAAGAAAACAATCTTCTTTGTCGGTAGTTACCGGGGGACAAAACAATAGAGTCAGGTGAGGTGTTTGATTGTTGGACAGACGTAGGTGATTATCTAATAAATACTTTATCGTGGCCTAAAACACATATTCTATAGACATCATAGTTTTGCTGTCATACTTTGTAACATTGTGTAGCATAAAAGCATTGACATCGTTGGAAGTTCGGTACAATCAACTTGTTGATAGTATGGTACAAATCATTTTATTTTTTTTGTCCATTTATAAATATGAATTGATCATTTGTGTTAAGTAAGCAAAAGCATACAGAAATTTGTGAAGGGACTTATATGACAAGGTATAAGGGACCTTTTGGTCTACGGGATATGTTCAAATATAGAAATGTTTGTGCAAATAATCATTACGGTCATGAGATAGGGAGAATAGGTACTACTTGTTGAACTTTGTGTCACATTTTGAATGGCAAAAATATTATTTAACACAAAATACCGGGAATACTATTTATTTTACCAGTATTGTTGAATATTTTCCCCTCAAGTTACTTTAACGTCATACTCAACAAAGACGTTTTTGTTTGATCCGTAAGATCCGTTAGTTTCACTTTCGGTATCTTTGAAAAGGGACGCTTTCTGTAGGTTTTTAGCGTTGATTGAGGATACAGAAATTTGGGTGGTAACTTTGAAAAGATTGGAATCTATCGTTGTAATAAGACATACGTTCTTAGCTTCTGTGTACAATTAGTCACACAGCAACAACACATAACACAACACTTTATTTAATATATAGGAACCCATACCTGCAGCCTCTTGACTTGTAGTCCGTCAAGCTACCACATGTGCTACGGAGATCAAATGTCAATTTTTATCTTAGCTTATCTCTTTATCTCACCATTATCTTGGCTTGATTTATTTGAACATTATTTTGGTAATATTGGACCAAGTCCGTTGTAAATTCTAATGGTATATATGTTATACAAGTGCCTGTGAATCTGATTTGCACATCTAATTTCAAGGCATATTATCCATATTTGACTTATTGCCAAATGATATGTACTTTATTTAAACAAATTTAGATTATTAGGATAAAACACAATGGTATGCTTGGTTGGTTGGTTGGTTTGTTGTTTAACGCCACACTCAGCAATATTTCAGCTATATGACGGCGCAATTGGGATCGATGACATGCGTCAACCAAGTCAGCGAGCCTGACCACCCGATCCCGTTAGTCGCCTTTTACGACAAGCAATGATATGCACTTTGACGTAAACAAGTTTACATTTTAAACATGCTTAAAAAAGAAACATGTTTACATTTTTGGGATGTTGTGTTCAAGTGGTGTTTATTTTGTGAGACGATAGCGCATTCTGTGTGTTTAGACCCCAGACCAAATGTTATTCCGTTTAAGATTTAAACACGTTTCTAAGCATATTTAGATCAAAACATGGCTTGTATGTGTTTACGGTCTAAACACAGATTTGTAGTGTATAACGGATGGCTATGTTTCTGTTACAACATATTATTCCAGGAAGAACCACCAGCTGAACACCAGTATGCCAGGAAAAGAACCAGGGAGCGACTGTCCAAGACACCAAAACTGGACTGTGGCGCAAAACTGCATGTCAGAGAGACGCTGTGCTTTCCATATGAAAAGGTGATACTGCAATCCACATGTTGGATTGTAAAGAATAACAAAGTCGGTTCATGAATATTTCAGGTGCATATATTTTTCCACTAGGTCCTGAAAAATGATTTGTATCCGAACCTAGAAACAATTGGATAGCATTCGATTTAGGTATCTCGTCACACAAACGTATGACAGTTATAGACATATGTTATCAATTAGAGAATGATAAAATCATGAGCGACTATGATATGACAGAATCGTCAAAATGTTATATATATTTGGAGAAAATTACAACAGGGGATTCGGATGAAATAAAAGCAGTTGGTTACGGCGGTGTTATTTGTACTGTAAAGGTAACACTTTCCAGCTGATACAGTAAACAACAAAATGCTTATTATAACATTGAATAAAAGCTAGAAAATCATCTCAATACCTTTTAGAAAAATCTTCTTACATCAGAGTCAATTGTACGATTCGAACTATATCATAAGCATATGTCTAAGAATCATTATCAAAGAGACTAAATCATGATATGAGGTTTTCGCGAAAAGGTGAGCGCAACGCCCTACCTGTGGCATCCGTCACAGACATAATTATGCAAAGGCAAGTCATTTGTTTACATGGAAAATCACGGGAACAAAAGGCACAAGTCAAAATATAGAATCGTATTAGAATACCACTTCTAACATATATATCATCATTTTTTTAATGTCTTTATTATATACAGGCCGAAAAAGGTGACAGAAGGAAAAGACGGAAATACGCAGCTGGTATAAATAAAGCATTGGGCGAGGGAAGGCTGACCGAATATCAGTTTGAACGACGCTTTATTGTTTCATTTCCGAGACCTGAAGACCATTTAGAACACCCCACTGCCAAGGTATAGTAAAATGTCATTTTATGTTGTGTTATCCACCCATAATTAGAAACCCAGGTATCATTGACAGGATACGAATGTAAGGTATCGAAAAGTTACTGTATCGTTGTTAGGCAATGTCTTTTCTAATCTAAATATACTATTACGCATTTTTATGTTTTGTTTTGATAATAATGTTTGTCCTAAAGTTTGGCGGCACTGTTACAACCCTGAATGTTAAAATTACTCTTAATGTAAAAACAATTACGTTAAGGGGTACGTGTTAACTCTAAATGTTAAAAACTTTTCCATTAAGAGTAACACCCCGCGACCCTTAATGTAAAAAATAAATATAATTTTACATTAAGGGTTATTATCGTACATATCGCCCCTAATTGTAAAAGATTCTTATTAACAAAGTTTGATTTGCAATTTAGGGTACTTTTTGCTATTTTCAAATTTCTCATTGTTTTGCTTGGTTTCTTGTAATTATTCGTAATAAGCGACAGCGTGAGAAACTGACTTTGCTCAGATCTGAGAACAAGAGGGGCTATTATAAGAACGGCAGGTTTGTTATTTAGGACATGCCATCTACTACTCTGGAAGTCGAAGAGCATCAAGTGTCGGCTCCAGTCGCAGATCGCGACTCAAGTGGAACAGCGTCAGCTGTGGATCAGAAGCGGGTGCTGCGGTCAAGGTCGAAGGTAAACTCAGCCTCAGGGAAATAAAAGGGTGCATGCTTAGTCCCTTTTTGTTTCAGTTTATTTTAATAAACTGATTGGTTGAAGTTTAGAAATTGTCCGATTTCGTATATTGAAATTTCCCCCGCAATTGGGATCCATGATATGCATCAACCAAGTCAGCGAGCCTAACCACCCGATCCCATTAGTCGCCTTTTACGACAAGCAATGATATGCACTCTGACGTAAACAAGTTTACATGTTAAACATGCTTAAAAAAGAAACATGTTTACATTTTTGGGATGTTGTGTTCAAGTGGTGTTTATTTTGTGAGACGATAGCGCATTCTGTGTGTTTAGACCCCAGACCAAATGTTATTCCGTTTAAGATTTAAACACGTTTCTAAGCATATTTAGATCAAAACATGGCTTGTATGTGTTTACGGTCTAAACACAGATTTGTAGTGTATAACGGATGGCTATGTTTCTGTTACAACATATTATTCCAGGAAGAACCACCAGCTGAACACCAGTATGCCAGGAAAAGAACCAGGGAGCGACTGTCCAAGACACCAAAACTGGACTGTGGCGCAAAACTGCATGTCAGAGAGACGCTGTGCTTTCCATATGAAAAGGTGATACTGCAATCCACATGTTGGATTGTAAAGAATAACAAAGTCGGTTCATGAATATTTCAGGTGCATATATTTTTCCACTAGGTCCTGAAAAATGATTTGTATCCGAACCTAGAAACAATTGGATAGCATTCGATTTAGGTATCTCGTCACACAAACGTATGACAGTTATAGACATATGTTATCAATTAGAGAATGATAAAATCATGAGCGACTTATGATATGGCAGAATCGTCAAAATGTTATATATATTTGAAGAAAATTACAACAGGGGATTCGGATGAAATAAAATAAATAAAGCTGGATACGGCGGTGTTATTTGTACTGTAAAGGTAACACTTTCCAGCTGATACAGTAAACAGCAAAATGCTTATTATAACATTGAATAAAAGCTAGAAAATCATCTCAATACATTTTAGCAAATTCTACTAAAATTTATACTTCATTGTTTTTGCTTGTTATCTTGTAATTATTCGTAATAAGCGACAGGGGCTATTATAAGAACGGCAGGTTTGTTATTTAGGACATGCCATCTACTACTCTGGAAGTCGAAGAGCATCAAGTGTCGGCTCCAGTCGCAGATCGCGACTCAAGTGGAACAGCGTCAGCTGTGGATCAGAAGCGGGTGCTGCGGTCAATGTCGAAGGTCAATTCAGCCTCAGGGAAATAAAAAGGTGTATGCTTAGTCCCTTTTTGTTTCAGTTTTTTTATAAACTGATTGGTTGAAATTTAGAAATTGTCCGATTTCGTTCAAATTTCGTATATTGACATGTTATGAGACTCCGTATTGAGGTCTCTGATTGCTCCTTTAAATACTCTACCCTATTTCGTATAATCTTTAAAAAACGGAGGTTGCGATTATGTCGTCCAATATGATTGCAGAGGGACGTTTGGATACTCATGTTAACATTATCATTCATCTGCGGTTTTTAATTCCCGATAGAAAAGTTCTAGTTAGTTTAATTTTTATCCACACATGCAAGATGTCCGAAAGGCTTATGTGACGTATTGCCATCCGTCTTCGTACGGCGTGCGTCATCCGTCATGTGAAATCTATTCACAATCCAATAAGATTTATTCATTAAATATGTCGAAAGATAGCATTTACAGCTCACTTGGTACGAAGTTCCTCGGTGAACTTATGTCAGCTCCCTCAGAAGATCCAATGGTCGCTACCTAACTGACATGAAATACTCTACAGATCGTATTTTATAAAGCCATCTAGACAAAGTAACGATCAATTAAATCTGCGAAGTTTCATGAATGTTCGATAAGTATTATTTCATAGTGATAACCCTTAATGTAAAAAATATTATCTGTCACTTCAACCCTTAATGTAAAACTTTTTACATTAAGAGTTGTAACAAGAGTGAACCCACAGCCCTTAATGTAAAATATTTAATTTACATTAAGGGTTGTAACACGATACAGTTTAATCTATACAATAAAAGAATCAGATACTGATCCTCATGATCCGTTAGGTTATCGTGGAATTTCTTTGTTATCAATACCTTGCAAAATTTACGCTGATATTTTGAATACACGCTTTTTCTAAATGGCTAGAATCTAATCATTTATTAGCAGAGGAACAAAACGGCTTTCGGCGTAAGAGAAGTACAACGGATGATATTTACACCCTCTTTTCTATTTAAAAAAAAAATATCCGTGAATCACCAAACGTGTGTGTTATATCGATGCAATGAAAGTTTACGATTAAGTGAATCGCGATTCTCTTTGCTACAAGCTATTCAAATTGGGAGTAAACGGGAAGGTCTTTTGGGGGTTAAATCATTATATGAAAATAATCGCTCGCAGGTTTTTGTGAAATGGCAAAATGACAGACAGTTTCGCTGTACTTAGTGCTGTGAAACAGGGCTGCGTTTTGTCGCCGACACTATTTTCGGTTTTCATTAATGACTTGGTACAAGAGGTAATGTGGTGTAGATACTTTTAACACCATGATAAGTCTTTTACTGTATGCCGATGATGTTGCTCTATTAGTAACGGATGAAATGTCACTCCAGTTGATGTTAAACTGTATTGCCAGCTGGTGTAAGAAATGGCGATCAAAAGTAAAAAACAAATATTTTTCATTACCGTAATCCCTCCTCTGTTCTTATGAAGAAAGTAGGCTCACTAAATTAGTACAAAGGTGGCCATTTTAATTCCCAAAGTCTTGGGACTGCACAGTTATAAACATGTTTAATGTTTTATAGTTACCGCTTTCATGACTGTATAGATCATGTTTTACCCTTTTTTGTTTTGAACGCGTATAGACTTAATCTGCATTGATAAGGAAACATGGCTCAGAAAGCTCTGGGGGCAAATTAATGGTAATAAGTTACGGACAAACCGACTGTTTAAGTCTACACTGAGCTTTTCACACTATGTTTGTAATATTACTCTGACAGAACATAACCTAACATTTTTGCAAAATTTTGATGTGATACACACATTTCAGATCTTAGTCACCTACAGACCGAATGAAATGTCTAATACAGTGCCAGGATTTGTCAACCCCTGTAGCCGCACTGATTAACAATATGTTTAAACGTAGACTCTATAATAAATAATATTCACTATTGCTTTTTGTGTAGCTAGGACTCCCTGCATTTACTCTCTCTTTTAACACAGGGTATTTGTATTATTTTAGCACTGTAAGTGGTTTTATTATTACATTGTATTGACCGTTTGACGGTAACTGGTGTCTAACTGGCCCTAGCTGACCGAACGTCGTATCAGAGTGTGATACGTTTTTATGATTGTTTTAAAATGTATAAACGCTAGACACCAGAATAAAATATTTTTCTCTCTTTCTCTCGTAAAAGTAAATGTGAATCTACTCATGTTAGTCGCTCTCATGTATTATAATTGTTGTTACTAGTAATCCTTCACCTACCATATATGCACCATGTTCATTAGTCAGTGTTGCTTGACAACGGTATAAGAATCTATACCGAAACGTCGTTTTTACAGTATAATAAAGAGGTTGTATCCATGCATAAAACATTTTTGTCTACTTTTTCACCCGTTAACTTCTAAGAAATGCGTATCAAACATGAACTATTTCTTTTGCGATGTGCGATCGATGTACATTTAAGTTTCTTAATGTCCTTAAAAGTAACCTTCATTTTTTGCATGGTTATTTTATATCAACGTTCAGCAGTGCGCAGTATTTATGTAGGTACACACATTCAACATTAGCTTTCCATATTTCTCTGTATGAAGAATTGTTTTGTCCCATTCACGTCTAAGTAAGGTTACAGCATACTTATGCACATGAAACCTATAAGCGATTCCAGGTAGTTTGGGCCTCCCCTTACAACTCTTCATTTTTGGATGTTTCGCGATCGACCGTTTATTATAGACAATAATACTTTGCAAGAGAGCGGTGGCACAAACAGGGTTGACAAAATTGTGATAAACAAAGAACATGAAATCGTGGAAACTGGTGAAACGCGACCCAGAAAACTTGGAGCAAGGGTAGAGGAATTTATGAAGGAGTTTATGCCGTCAGAACCAAATTCAACGAATCGGCAGTTCAGTCCAACCAAGAAGGATTTAAACCTCATTCACACAGCTGAACGAAACAACAGGTTATGTCGTTAACTGCTGCGTAAACATTAATGTAAATATGACTGCAGAGGTTTCTAGATTAGTATATGAGAAGTTGACTGACGATTTACCCAATGTGGTTTGATATCAATGAGAAATTGTTCACCAATATTTAATTTTAACAGTACATTGGAGACAGTTGCAGAACATGACCAACAGCTGTAGGAGTACCATTTGTTCATCTCACCGTAGTGTTTTATAATTAAACCATATTTTTTCAATACTACGATATGAATGATCACATAACCTCTACTCTACTAAATGAATGACGATTCAACAAACATGCACGTTCGCTCAACAAATGTTTCAATTAAAATTCATGTGCTGTTTTGCATTTTAAACAAATAAGGATTAAAACTGTTTATAATACATGGAACTTGTGATGTCAGCGATAAACAATATTCACCAGTCACTCGTGTATTCATATGGGGCAGTTGTGGTGAGGTAGAATGGTTGAAGCGTTGGCTTGTCACGCAAAAATCCCGCCTCGGTTGTGAGGCTTCCTCACATCTGATTTATGCCAATGTAGGGTGTCACTTCATGCTAGAATAATGATCACTTACTCCTACGCATTTCGCCAGGGGTGCTCCCATCCTTGTTTAGTAATAAAACTGTCAGCATCTTATCAGCAGTTACGAGCTCATGGTCATCAGACATGCCGATGTCCACTCCCCATGGCACAAGCCTCTTACTATAAACAAACAGAGGCAAGGTGCTGATTAGCCCTGCTCCACGTCTGTACTGAATGATACATCCATGGATGTGAAGTCATTTTATCTTTCTGACAGTGAAGATAAGCTAACAGTACACCGATCTTTTATTGGGACAACTGGTTCCATTCATTTCTATAATCTAAGAATTATTCCCCATGAATGGAATAATCGTTATGAGTGAGTGAATTGGGTTTAACGCTGCTTTAGGTATAACAGTATTCGAGTTATATCACGGTGTGTCAGCTTAATGTGGGAGGAAAGCCCGAAGTGATGGAGGTCTCAGATGTTTACCACTTTGGTGAAATCCAGAGCACGGATATGGTGCTGACAAAACTAAAAACATAATCGGGCGAACCGGACTCGAACCTACAATCATAGGTTTATGGTGTGCCCAAGGGAGGCAACGCAGCACTGCGAATCACAAGCGCCTTAGACCACTGGGCCACTTGTGCCCCCAATATTCGTTATGTTAAAATTGAAGACATACAAAACATATAAAGTCATGTCACATGTGACCCACATATGATAACGTGGATAGATGCACCTTTTTTTAATACATTTGATAAAGATTTAACAGTAAACAATATGATTCATCCATCCATTTATACTTGTAATGCCAAGCATCTACGTTCACTTTCAGCTAAATCATATTGATAATGACCTTTTTGAGAATAATATTAGCTTCCTGATACTATAACCGCAACCAATAATTCCATACACTGACTAACTTGCAAGGAACAACGACCTGATTCACCTCTGGCCACAATGCAAGGAGTACTTTGGTAGAGTAACTATTATAGACCAGTGCTGCAAGCATATTTCTTTCTTCACTGTGTTTGGTATATTGAAGTTTGTTTATCTAAACATTTGTTGTTTCATCCCTTTAAAAATCGAGTCTAGACCAGACAATCCAGTGACTGACATCCTGAGCATCGATTCAGGCAATTGGGATACAATGACATGCAGCCTTTGTTAAATTGACATTTGTAAAGATATTTGTGTATAAAGGTATCTTCCCATTTTAGCGACACCTCAGGTAACAC